TGTTTCGGTTGATGTGTCTTTTCAACTTGCGCTCTTCTTTTTCATTCACCGGACTCAACTGCCGTTTCCGGCCAACAGCATACCATTCCTTATCGCAAAACAATTTTATGATAGAGTCCTTCCAATTCGTTTTTAGCCCAGAAAAGAACACATACACACGTAACAAAATGAGTTAGAGCATGAAAAGTTTTCAAACGATTGTATAAACACAGAAACATATATTTCAAGTTGTAACATTGTTATCTTGGCGCGCTCTCATTCGCTCTTGCTTGCTCGCTGGCTGGCTGGCTGCCTGCAATAACAGTAAACACGAAGCCATTGAAAGCTTCAACTCAAATAGTCACCAAAATAAACAAATATGTGCCATTGGCACAATGTAAACAGAAACAAATAACACTCAAAAACATGCCAATTGCAATACCGTAGCACACAAAATCCATATACTATCTTAAATGGTCCCAATTGGAAATGTTGAACACTGTTTTGTTTCGTTTACTTTCGCTCTTTTTTCTTCCACTCCATTGCCAATACAAAGTTTGCAGTTAATTGAATAGCCAAATGGGTATTTTCGTCGGAAATGTCATTTTCATTTTTTATCTTTGACGCAGAAAAGATGTTTCGAAAAGTTTTTCGGTCCAACACATTTCAGGCGATTCGAAGATGAAAAACAAACTTATCAAAATGAGAAAATGTTATCAGCTTTTATTTCAAAATTCCTTTCGTTGAAAAGAAAGGGTTTCCAAAATCAATGACACAAACGAAACCATTTCATTTCGTGTAAAATTTAATTACTTTATCATTATAACTACGAACATAGGGTTGTTTGTTTCATTTCTCACTTTGAATGGAACATCAAACAAAGTTTGAGCACATAATATAGCTACGAATTGGATAAATGACGGTACGTGCCAGTGGATATGTACACGTTCACGTGTGAATATTTGCAAATTATCGAGTGTTATTGCATGCAATTCGTCGTACATTGGCAACGCCACCAATTTGTTTCAATGTTGCCACTGACTGTGGCGATAAAGCAAAGAAAGGAGAAAAAAAATACAGAAAAATCCTCCGGTACAAGCCTTGTATTACAAGGCGTGAAATAAAACTCCAAACGCATCAAACCAAAGTACGTTTTAAATAAATTGTTGCAATAAATATCCGTTGTGATGTACATAGTTTTTTTTTCTGTCGCTGTTGCTGATGCTTCCATTTGCTAGCTTGTCTCTCGTACCACGTAGATAAGAAAATGGTTGTATGTTTTTCATGCATACGCTTCCGCATGCTTGGGTTTTTTTCTCTCTCTCTATCTCTGGTTGGAATGCTCGGCAAGAAAAAGCGGACAAAAGTGTGAGAGATAGAGAGAAAGCAGTAGCAGCACATACATGACGAGAAGATCACATCAGTTGCCAATGAGAAAGTTCCATTTATTGTATTACATGTGTACTGTCAGCCGTGTGATATGAATGTGAATGGTAGATTTGCCATTTGGCTTCGAAACGAACCGTAATAAAAGTGAAACACGTCACAATATAAATGGCGAATGAAATGGTGAAAAAATGCCAGTTACAAAAACGTCGGCAAAGTGCGACGAAATACATGTGAGAGGAAAAAGAAGAAGAAGAAGAAGAAGAAAAAACCGACACAATGAAATTATCATTACGTACATATTATGTGTTTGAATCATAGTTTCAACTCATTTTTCATAGCCTCATAGGTTGCATTGTACCGTTTTGTGTGTGTGTTGTGCTCGAGTGCATGAAGGAAAGTGTCGTCACCTTGCCAAGAGTGCCAACATAATTTCAAAACATGTCACACACAAATGCATAATAAATTCACCAATTTTCACGTTGAAAAGCATGCTAAGCCATCATTGCATTACCATCCAGCATTATTCGCGTTGAAGCGCCCAGAGCGCCCAGCATTTTGGTCTAATGGTGTAACAATGTGGATTGGAGTGTTCCGGTCTTGTGTTACAATGAGCGTTAGATTTGCATTGTAAAACTTATATGCGTTTTAAAAGTTTGACTAATATGGCAGTTTTATACATTTGCACTTTACTAATTGACAAGCTCAAAATAAGCTCCGTTCTTTATATGATTTTTTTTCGTCTTCTTTCATTTTTATTAAAAAGTATCTTATGCAAAATGAAAGTTATGCTCGAACGAAGAATGGGCACGGCAACAACAGCAATGAAGACGAGAAAAAGAATGAAGAATAAACACTTTTCCCTTTGATGTAAAATCTAAAGAATTAAAATACAGGACGAATCTAAAACCAAGTATAAAGTTGGTGTCATACGCAAGTTTGTTCCTTCCTACCGCGCCTATTTTTCTCTTTGTTTTTCATAAGCAGCTACAGCTGCTGATGCTGCTGCTGCTGCTTTTTTCTACTTTTCTCGATTTTGTTCCTACTTTTGTTTATTTAAGCTTTTGTACGATTTAATTTTATGAAATGCGTGTATGTTCTTGCGTTTTTGTGTCAATCATTTTCGGCGACAGTGGCTGTTCGACGGCTTTTCGCTTCAACGAAACCATTCTTGGTGAACATTTTGATTTTATGGCCGTATCTCATCAGATTTATTTGCTTTCGAACAAATTTCCATTTCTCTCTCTCTCTCTCTCTTCCTTTCTCTCTTTCTCTCTCTCTCTCTCTCTCTCTCTCTCTCTCTCTCTTTCTCTTCATTCGGGTGAAAATTGACCGAGAACAGAGAAATCGTAAAGCATTGTTGCGTTTGACGTGTCAAGATACAATTTTTAAGCCTTTTAATAAAAGTGATAAAATGACATGGCAAAAAAAATCACACAAAAAAGAACAGAGACATGAATTTGATATAAAACGCTCTCTTAAACCATATTCATTGCGAGAGTCATATTTGAAGTGTGTACGCCCGCCCATGAACGATTCTCTTTTAAAACCCATAAAAACGATGGCGCGCGATAAAGTAGTGCATACGTGAATAAATGCTGCAATGATTATATGGGACATTTGACGGTATTGTGATCAAAACCGGAGACAGAGCGAAAGCGAGAGGAAAAGAGAGAGAGAGAGAGAGAGAGAGAGAGAGAGAGAGAGAAAGAGAGAGCATGAGCTCTGAACGCTGAGCACAGCCATAGGAAACACAATCGCAAAAATGATATTTACATTCTTTTGCTCCAGTTGTCGTCTGACAATATTACGTATGCAACTGACAATGGGAGAACATTTCAGCAACAGTTTTCTTCCATTACATTTGCCATTTTCATTTTATTTTTGCTTTTGCTACTCACTTTACTCACTTACACGATAAGCATGTTTGCATTCCACTAACACTGGGTCGCTGAATCAGTGTCATTTCACATTTCGATTTTGTTAATTTTTCATGCGCAAAACTACAACAAAATACTCGCTTTGAGATTACAATTTTAATGGGACATACCATACTTGTTATTGCTAGTGTTGACTATGGTATGGTACAACGTGATACGATTAGCTTGAAAACTTGAAAACTTTAATGCTTCGTCGTGCTCTTTTCTTTGTTCACTGCATCAAAGGATGAGAAGAATTTTCGCTCAAATAACTCAACGTATCACACAGTGTCAGAAGAACTAAGAAAGTCCGCAAGACGACGGCGACGACGACGAAGAAGACGAGGACGATGAAGAAGAAAAGAAGGAGTGCTCACAGAAGTGGCAGTTTCTGTTGCCATCGTCTGAACTTTCTTCATCTTTTTGATGTTGTGGCTAATGTCTCAAGATTATACGTGTACAGCATGCCGAGATAAGACCCACATTGAAAAGAAAAATAAAATGCACCAGCCAGCCAGTAGCAGTAATAGCTCATACGAATATTCTTTTTTTCTGCATCACTTTCACCAGAAAGTGCATCAAGCAGACAATTTTCTCTCGGTTTAACAATTCCGAATGGTGCTCGACATGCGATCACAAATGCCGCACATCACTCCATCAAATATCAATGAATTCATTACAAAGCATCAAATTCTTTCTCTCTCTCACCGTTCAACGTGAAAACTGTACAGACTCTTTCGTTCTTGTCGCATTGTGCTTTGGGTTGGGTGTTCAAGTGAGGATTTAATAGATCGAAACATGAATGGTTGATTACATTTGGAGCGAATACAATAAGCGTCGATTTAGCGCCTTACCCTGACTAAATCGGCAGAAATGCAAGACAATTCGGTGTTGCCAAGAATGGAGACGAATGAGAGAGAGACAGAGAGAGAGAAAAAAGAAGATGCCTGTTTTATTTTTGTTTGGCTTGAGAGCACTTTTCTGTGGGTTATTATAACAAAAGTCAATTCTTTCATATGCAAATGCTTGGGATCGATTCGACAAACGCGATGGACGACATTAAAGCTGAGGAAGCATTTGGCTGTGGTACGCTTCTCCTTCAATACACTGGGTAGAAACAGCAATAGTAATTTTTTTTGTACAACACCGAAATCAGTTGTGCTCCCATTTTGCACAATCCTGAATGTTGTGTGCCGTACACAACAAGCCACCATACACAACGGCACGAAAACGTATCACATATATACGGATACAGGTTTTGCCTTTTGCATGGAACGCATATCGGCACGCGCTTCATCGTTTCAAAGCGGCCACCATCAAGAACAACAACGGCAACAGCAACAACAGCACAATGTAACACACCAAGCAAAAGCATATGCTCCGAAAGAGAACTCAGTCTCATAGTCAGTTGGCAGTCGGTTTTCAGTGATACTGTTCTAATGGGTTCTCGTCAGCGTGTTCGATCCAAGTGTGTCTGGAGGAACAGTGATTCGGTGGCTGCTTGGCTCTCTATATGGATGGATGTTGTGTTGCGCACACACACACACACGGCCGAGTGACTGTGTGTAATACCGTACACATTGGGTATGCCGCTACATGCTGATATCAAAAGCAACACTGAGTCCGTGTTCAGTTGTTTGTTATTCGTTGGTTCGTTACTTGAACCAAGCAGCAGCAGTAGCAGTAATCTCCAAGCCGCTGTACAATCTCTGATTCAGTGATCATCGAAACTTCGACGGAATCACGCGTATTCTGTCCGCAGCTCTGAACACACTTTCAGTCTATTCTATAAATCAGTTACAATACACTACGAAAGTGCATCGTTAAAAACTCGCCGCACACGCATACATACACTCTATTTTCGACTCTTAAAGTCATCAAAAGTGGAATAGAATTTTGTTTTGGAAAACGAAACACGAAAGCGAAACACAAGACACGAAAAGAACGAATCTAATTCCTTGTTTATAAAATAAGCATTAGTCAACAGTAACGGATGAAATCAGCCGGATAAAATTATTCCCATCGAAACTGAGAGCATCGTAGCAGTAGCAGCGTCTCAGCTTGTTGATTTTATTGTTTTGTTATTTTTCTCTCTTTCGAAAGTCCTACACACGAACTTTTTTTTTTTGATCACTTTGAAATATTGAGTAGATTGACGGAACGAACATTTTGTTGACAGACAGATTCGAATCGTTTGCTCTCCTTATTGATAGAGGATACAGCAACGAAAACAATAAACAACAACAACAAAAAAAGATGCGATCAACCTGTGCATATACTATGTGTGATGGAACATTTTTTCTCTTAGTTGAGATTGTCGGTTTCTATAAATAAACGGAAAATCGTGCGAAGTGATAGCCAATTTCAATTTTCTCTCAATCTAGATAACGGTCAGTGATTTTGAATCTTTTGCATAGTGTTTTGGATATTGGTCGTTTTGTGTGTTTTTTTTTGTCTCAATACTTGGTTTCGCACCATTCATACTCTCTTTGGTCGGTGTTTTATAGCCAAAGAAAATGTTCGGTAAATGTAATAGCAGCAGATAATATCTCTTTCGGGGCATTATACTATCTATTACATTCATTACACTTATAAATAATTTTATGACGACAACAACAACAACATCGACGACGACGACGACGACGAGTGAAAGAGGACAAGAACATATGTGGAATAGATTGCGTTCTCGCCAGCCACAACACACTTCACACACATATGATACGCTCTGATGAAAATTCAAGTATTTTTCTTGTTGGTGTTGTTGTTGTTTCGTTTTTTCTTCTTTCTTTCTTCTTCGAAAAACGATGAAGCACTTTTAACCGTAAAAATAGACGCAACACTCACATTGTGATTCGAATAGAACAAAACAAAAATATATATCGTAGCGCAAAGTATCTTACATACAGCGAGAAAGTGAGACGCATGACCATATGCCACACTGAACACGAGAAACATTTCACCTTTTTTTCCTATATGGCCAATAATTTGTTCAGTCGTCGTTTTCGGAACATTGGTCCTAACCACTTTAAAATTGCTATTTTGAAGCGTCGAGAAATGTGTATTGCATTGTGACGGGGTGCATTTGCTTAACGATCAAAACAACCACCGAGAAAAAGAGACAGAGAAACATATTTTGGATCGAGTTAAACTCAAGAACACAGAAAATAAGAGAATTTAATTTTCGTCACCATTGTTTGCATTCACACATACAGGACAAAAACGAACCGACAACCTAAACTGAACTAAATAAAACGGAACAAAACGACACAAAAGAGAAAGAAAATAAAGAGAAAAAAAAGAGTCAATGAAGACGAAATAAAAGACCATGTAATAAACTTTGAGTGCAAAATTCAATTATGCGTGTTGCGTGTTAATTTAATTTGGTGTAAGTGAATGTTTGTTGTGCGTTTTCTGGTGTGTTCATTGCAACAAAAATAGCGAAAAAAAGGAGAAGAAGTAAAACAAGATCGAAAACGGGAACGAAAACGCACAAAGACCAAAACGATACGATTGAATCATAAAATTGTGTTATGATAGTTCAGTGACCAAAACTAATTGAATTAAATCATGACAATGGCACCAAGTTGAAAAAGCATCACGTACATATTTGTGGATAAATGCGTCCTAACGATCTTCCATCCAAAATCGACCAAAGAATCGACCAAAGCGATAGAGTGTGAGAGAGATAGACAGTGAACGGGAAAAGAGAAGTATAGCAGAAAATTGCATCGCATTCACAAAAGAGTGTCTAAACGGCGTGTAATGGACTTTTTAGTTTCGGCAAGATTCGAATAAATTCTGATTACAGTGTCTTGGAGATAAGTGAAGAGCAAAGCACGCGCGCATGCAAACAGACACAACAACGCCAATTCCAGCGAATACAAACGGATTGGTACACGCTAAAGGCGTACATAAGCAAATTAAGTTGATAAACGCACACAGAGAGAAAAACGCGCTAAATATTAGCAAAATTTCTCGCTTTACATTTTAAGCTCGGCCAAACGAGATTGAAAGCTCCAGAACGATAAATAGCCAAATACGGTTTTCGCATTTTGCGAGAGACTGTGTGCACATGACTTCAAACAGCCTAATTTGAATGTTATTGATGCGCGCACACAAAGTGAATACGAAACGATTAAGGCGCCTGAATAAGTTAAACAAATTCAATTCAATCATTCAACGAACCGCTTAAGCAAACAAATCGAGGCAGAACAGCCAGAGATAGCGCGATACCCATAAAGAGTGAGAGACAGAACGGCGTGTATTTTGCCTGCTAGCCAACACAAACACACCAAAACAACAAACAACCCAAGAACCAGAGCTGAACTGAGCACACGAGCACGAAGGCGAGTGAATACAACAAGCGGTATACAATAAAATCCGAAAAGTAAGTGTGGCTTTTCAGCTAATTATAATTAATTAGTCGGCCTTAACCAAACAATTAGCGATGCTTTTTAATAATAATCATCATTCGCTTGCTTCAGCAACGATTTAGACATTGGCGCACTGGGGTTTCCCATGCCACCGCCGATGCCACAGCGCGCATGAATACCTAACATCAAAATCGACTTATACTTTCACTTTTGCCGCTTGATTTTCTTTTTTACTTCCACTCTCTGACTCCCACACACACACACACACACACACACACACACGCAACTCCAATTCGATTGGATTGCTCAAGTTTTCAAATTAAATTTTCAAGGTGACAGGTGTATGCACTATAGTTTGTGTTATTCGTGCGGAAAACTATATATAAACGGTGTTCGCACAACCAAGATCAATGTCGATTGAAACTTTTCCGCACATTCAACCATATTTTCAAAGTGACATTTTTCCATCAGATTTCCGCGCTCACGTTTTTTGTGCTCATTTACACGTAATTAAGTGGGTAATTTTCTTTCCTGCTTCCGGTTTTTCTTTTCTCGGTGAAATTTTGATGAACGACATTCTTTTCTCAGTGAAATTTTCACCGACAGATGAACGACAGATTGCAGATTTGTATCCATCCCATCATTTAATTCAACACATTTCTTGATCATTTAGTAAAAATCAATTTTTTTTGCCACTGATCCGTTTATTCGTATCCCTTTGCATATACGATATTGGATCACTCATCGTGTACAGGCATATGAATTTACAAAAAAAAACGGCTTTGAAAGAGTGATTGATTACTGTGCCTGTGATAGCAAAGAATGTAAAAAGTTTTCTCTTCTTTCTTTGCTGCTTTCATCTCAGCGCTTAAAGAGAACGCACTGTCGGGTTAACTTTCAAAACGTTTCGATTTGATCAATTTCAATAGATTTTTGTATCTGAATGTGGATGTTATTTGTGATGAGACAGGTGAGAATTTTTTTCTTCATTGTACAGACGCCTCAATATTCTTATATTGAATCTTTTTTTTCTTTTTTCCTTTTTTTTACCTTGAATCTCATCGGTTTTTCCACGTTTTAGTGGAAGGATAGAAGAAAAAGTGGCGAATGATAAATCCGTTTTGAAGATACCTAATATTTAAAATTGACTGAATGTAAGTTGTGAGATGTTTATGAAGTGCTTAGGAAGGAGGAGAAGAAAAAAATTTGAAACGAAAGTAAGAGAGATGGAAATTGACTATCGCGTTGATATGCGTTTTAAGTAGCTAAATCCCTTTTCGAAAATGGCCCAAAGAGAATAGAAAGTAAATCGAAATTTACGCAAGAAATGTGAGAAGTAAAATGACCAAACTGGATCTGTTCAACACACTGAACAAAATATCATGTAAATGATATGTACTTCTCTTCGGCCCATATTCTTGGACATTATTTGAATTCATCGCAATTAGAAACAATGACATTTGACCCGAGTCCGCGTTGGTGTGGTTTCATTCTCTCTATGTCTGGTGTGTCTCGAGACGATGTGTATGGTCTATTTAGAGTAGGAATGATGGTTATTTCGCTTGATGAGTTGGTTGAGCACTTCAAGGCTTCAAGTATGTACCACTAAACTGAAAAGAAAAGAAGAGGGCGAGCGAGAAAAAAAAACACATCGTATGGCCATCAATTTCTGGGTAGGTTGAAAATGCGTTCCAGTTATTGTCGGATCATATTCCCAAATGAAATCCGGGGCGAGAAAATAGAGAAAGCTAGAGAGAAAGAGTATGTGTGTGTGTACAGTGCCGATCAAAAGTTTGGGTACGATTGAAAAAATTGCATTTTTCGACAAAAAATGGGATTATTTTTATAAAAAGTGAATATATTTTGGTTTCAATTCGTAAATCTTACGGAAATAAATCGTTTTAGACTTAAAATGTAGAATGTTATTGGATTGGTTTGAGAAAATTGATCAAAAAATAGTAAAAATTGAGTTCATTTTTTTGTATGAAAATCATCTGACTTGCTACCGATCTCCGACCATATTATCAACTACTGTGCATGCAATTGTTTAGAAATTACTCAAAATGGCTCCTACACAATCCAAAATATCTGCCACAAGTGGATTTTTGTTAATTATATAAGATTTCTCATTGCTTTGGATGAAAAATGAAAGTTTTTCTATTTTGGTCAATATTTACATGTAGTTTCACCATTTTTGTGAAAAAAATATTTCTGCTCGCACAGTAAAAAGAAATCTCACGTAATTTGCAAAAATCCACTTGTGGCAGATATTTTGGATTGTGTAGGAGCCATTTTGAGTAATTTCCAAACAATTGCATGCACAGTAGTTGATAATATGGTCGGAGATCGGTAGCAAGTCAGATGATTTTCATACAAAAAAATGAACTCAATTTTTACTATTTTTTGATCAAATTTCTCAAACCAATCCAATAACATTCTACATTTTAAGTCTAAAACGATTTATTTCCGTAAGGTTTACGATTTGAAACCAAAATATATTCACTTTTTATAAAAATAATCCCATTTTTTGTCGAAAAATGCCATATTTTCAATCGTACCCAAACTTTTTATCGGCACTGTATGTGTCTCGGTGTGTGTGTCGTTTATAACGAGAGATTCAGTTTTCAAACCGTGTCTAAGAAGCCATTTTCTTCTCAATGTGAATGATTCTTTTTGCAATGAGCAAATTATTCGCCGGAGAGTATTTATATATACCACATATCGAAAGCTTAGCCGACAATCGGATCTCTTTGCGTGAACGATGAAAAGGAAGCATTTTCCGTGAATTTTCAGTTTTCGGCATAAATATTTGAGTAAACGAAAAAGGGCAAGTCAGACGTCGCGAGTGAGGAAAAGAGACAAAGAGACGAGTTGAAGCACGATCCGATAGCATGAGACTTTTTACGTCACAGAAATTTGTACGTGCTTTACATGTTTATTCATGTTTAAATGATTGAAACTTGCAATTTTGACTACTTTCAGGCGTTGTTGTTGTGTTTTTCAATGCAATTAAGATAGAGACTTTGTGATTACATGTTAGTTCATGAATATTTTCACTAGTTTCGCTCTTGTCACATTCTGTACATGAATCAATGTATTTTTGGTTTTTGCTGTCGGATCGTGAGTTGAAGAAAATATGCGCTGCGTCTACTGCAGCCACAAAATTTACGATAAGAAATGCTATCGTTTGCTATTGTCGCTATAAATAAATTCGAAAGCACCACAATAACAGCCCATGAAGTATTGTCGTTTAACTAAGCAGTACTTATTACGGGAATGTGCCAATAATCGTGATATGGAAGGTGTCAACGAACGGAATGGCATGAAGGCGCAATCAAAATGGTATCACTAGTAGGAAAAAAGCATACAAATTGAAATGATGTGATGTCTGCCCCGCAAAATACACACAATGTTGCTCGTGTCGAAGTGGCCGTATTTCTGGCATTTTCACACCTCATCGGTGTGTGTGTGTAAATAAAATTGATCATTTATACGATGCGACACAAACCAAGCGACACACAAAAGAAATTGGCTGCGGTAAAAATGCCATTCAAAGTTGATGCCACGTTGTACGTTTGTCAAAAATGTTTGCCATCGTGTTGAACAGAATGAGATAACCAGAAAAACAACACTAACTGCCACATTTCTCATTTTTGGCATGCTTTGAATTTATTCATCAGCACCAATTATTTCGTCTATTTCAAAAATGCCAAAAATATTCTCGTTCCCAGTCACTTTTGGTTCTCACTCTCCTCACTCTCTCTCTCTCTCTCTCTCTCTCTCTCTCTCTCTCTCTCTCTCTC